TTATCGTCATCTTGTAAATTCCCCCATAAAGCTTTTGTGATTTGGATTCGGAATAATCACAGCTCCCAACTCCACCTCCATTAGCGGAGCAATTTCAACGAGGAGCGTTTTTTCTTGGTACCGAAGACGAACAGTTAGTTGCGCTTTAAAAAATATCATTGTTCCACTTGAGAAAAGATTACGAATCACGTTGCGACACAACGTTCATTTGCATAGAGCCCACGATATGTAAACAAACAATTTAGTCCTGCTGCTTCTTAAACCGTCAAGAAAATACAAGTTTTCCGTTAGGAAAAAATTTTTTTTATTCTTTTTTTTTTTTTTTTTACGAAAATCGTTATATTTTTGGAGTTAATTATTACCTAGTATAGAATAATGACAATTTTAACCTAATTCATAAAAAACTAGTGCAAAAGTAGCCAAAACCGACGTTGGCAACTAAAATTTAGGGTTCGCTGCGCAGTATTTCTTTCGATCGCCCTCACTTTGCTCGCTCACGTTATCATCGAAAGCGTCGCTCCAAAGGCACCCGTCTCTAGTGATCTCTTTCTAGGAATTTTTCATATTTTTCCTTTTAATATTCAAACGCAAGATAATAATGTTTGTTTGCTACGCTGTTCGCTGAATATAGACCTAGGAGTGGCTGTGTGTGAATAAAAGAACTTATCTCTACAATCGGCATTGTCGCACAACCTCTAAAAGCTGATGTATTGCTCCTCAGCTTCTGATTTTCGCGAAATAGTTTCTTTCATGTGTCTTATCTACCGGGAAATTCCTTTTGTAAGATTTTTTGGGGAAGGCAATTTATTCTTCAAGAGGAATCCGGACATCGGCCAAAAATGGCTAGAAGCTGGGAGATCGAGGATGTCCATCTCCCCAATAAAGATTAGAAGAGCTAGAAGCTCGAATATTCCTAACGAAAAGTCGTAGAAAGTACGCTGGAAATTAAAATACATTTTTGGCATTAGTTCCTTCAGCACGAAATTCGGTAAACGTAAGTATGCACGTACATTACTGTGCAAGTAAAAAAATTTTTTTCTATGTCGATTTATTATGGTCCTTCGTTGCCAATTCGAAGAGGGCTGTTGACACCAATGTTAATAACCTTATCGTGATTTTTTTTGTTTTTTATTAACTCTAAGAAGAAAGATGCATGTATGCGTTATTATTCTCTATAAATAAAATATATACAGTTAATGGGTTATTTTTCGTTTACTATTAACTCGTGTTTGCTCAACGAACGATTTGTTCGTTTAAAAAAAAAAAAATAAAAAAAGAAACCAAAAAAAAAAAAATAAAAAAAAAAAAAAAAAAGAGTCCTACTGGTAACGTCTGAATATACCTCTCGAGGGAAAGAAGGTATTGTATCTTGGAACCAATAAAATTACCACTTTTTTTCTTCTTTATTATAAATAGTGGGGTGGGTCGTAGGTCGACTACTTTTGCTCAACACCGCCGTTCGCATGTACCAATTAAAATGTAAAAGGGTCGGATAATAAAACTTAGAAATCAAAGTCAATATCGTCTTCAATCCGATTCCTCTTGTTACTCTTTGCATCACTGCCCACACCACCTTCGTTCAGGGAGCTACCCCTTGAACGTTTTCTTGTCACCACGACATTTTCTTCCGCGGGTGGTGCATCCTTTGTTCTAATGACTTGAAATACTTCGTAATCATCAATCGTGAATTTGGTGTCGTCAAGTATTTTCTTCTCATAGGAGGTTGGGACACACCTTCCATCGCTAAAATCGAGGTCGTGATCAAATAGGTGACGTCTCGGATAACTCGTGATTGCCTTCTCAAAGTTTTTGACGCGACTTAGAATGCAGTTATTGCAGGTAGACCCATTCTCAAACGAAAATATGAAGCTTTCCTTTGTGTTCTCCACGCTAAATGTGGTCTCCCAGTTCACCGGATTATATCCGCCAAGAATCTTTTCGGAATTTGCAACCTTAATTATCACAACCGTGGGACCCTTATTCGCTGCCAGCCCGTTAAACACCTTTGGCCCCTTTCCGTCGCGACTTTGCCTCAACAAAAGCTTATATACATATGCGGCTGGCTCTCGGTCATTTCTCGTCCGATTAATCCAATAGGTGATTTTTGCAAAATTCCTCCAGCTGATGAGATTCGAGCTATTTATATCAAAGGAGGTGCGCAGTGGCATTTTTTTCAACACGTCGGGCCTCTTTTCCGTGATGTAAAACTCTTTCATGCCTTTCCACAGGTCTGCTGGAAGTAGTCTTTTGCACTTTCGCAATTTCTCGTGATACTCGACGCCCGAAATATTCGAATACCGAACGTGACTCAGTAAGTCACCGGTGACGGCACGAACACTCTCGTAATCATTATCGGTCCACCTGGACATGTCGGAGTTGAGGGATGGGACCTGGCTAATTCCCCACGCGATTATGTACTCAAAGAGCTCGATTTCTTTGATGAGAAGGTCATCCCTCTTTACAATTTCCAGTAGTGTCGCTTCGTCGAGTTCATGACTGTCCTCGGACTTTAACGGTGCTGCCGGATCTTCGGTCAGTATTTGCTTTACGATGTTATTTAGCTTGATGTAGGACCTGTACTGTGCGGAGATGGACATGAGTTTTACGAAATTATTCAAGATCCAATCGTACTCGTCTTCGATAATGTGATCTTGAATGTGGTCCATGAGCTCCACCATCTCTAGCTGGTCAGCAGCCGAGAGCAATTCGAGATACATGGACTTGACCTCGTCCGCTCTCAAATCCACTTCGCCGATGTAGATGTATCTGTTGTTGTTTCGTTAAAAAGGAAAACAACAATTTATGGAAATGAATTACAGATGCCGATCATTCCCAATACTCAATTGTAAACTTCATGTATACACACATTCAGTATCAAAAAAAAAAAATTAAAATAAAACAAAACAAAATGAATGTGCACCTCATAATTTTTTGAAATGCTCGTGACGTTATGTTTGGATGAGAGAAAGAGTACATTTCGTTCACTTTCCGGCCCCATACATTTGACAAAGCCGTGCGAAAATATGGGCAACGCGCTCTTAAGATTACAGAGTGTGCTTTGAAGATCTTTTCATCTGACTCCTGTCCAACTTGAATGGTTACGTTATAGTCATTATCATCTTCGTAGGTGGAACGCATGTCGCGCATGTACATCTGTTCTAGATCAAAAGTCATGATGCTCCGTTCGTGGCAAACAACAGGATAACGAAAGACTGAAATGTGTTTGAACACGCCTGGAATGTTTAAATTCGATATTACGTGAAGAGGTTGGAGGATGAACGTGCTTTGCCTTTGCGAAGGCTCGATTCGAAAAGATATATGACTCGGCGTTTTGAAACAAGTCAAAAAGCAAGCATTAAAAGCTCCTCGTCGGGAATGATTTCTGATCGTGATTGTCAGGTCCGATCTGATCTCGTATTGTTATTATACGACACAATATCCGCAGCTATTTATTCAAAATTTGATTGTCAGTCAATTTCTATGACGTTTTTTTACGTTGAACTGGAAGTTTTTAGCATTGAATTTTAGTGAAGACGTCTCCGCGCAGTATTTTAAACCTCATTGGTTGGTCGATTTTGAGTGATTTCATTTAATATTAATAAAAGACCTCGTGTTGAATACCAAACATAAGTTATTACGTAACGGTAGTGCAATGATGTCCGATCGAGTAAAGATTATCGAATATTGTGTCGTACGTGGATCTATAAGAGCTGACTTCATTTCAGAAATTGTTGAGTGCATAATGTTAATTCGAGGGCTCAAGGCTATATGCCAGCACTCGAAGGTGAGAACGGTTGTGGTGATCTCACCCTCTTCAAGGACGTTTTCAAAGAAAGCCTTGAATCAGGTAGGATAATTATTTTTTTATAACACTTCAACCTTTTTTTTTTTCCGAAAAAAAGTATCACCGATGATGTCATTCATTTATTTTATAGTTACTCGCACTTGATAGTCCTTTTGTGAGTGAATGCGGGAGTAAACCGTTGAAATCCATCAACCATGCGAGAGGATGGGGATACCCATGGAATCACTTACAAGAGCAGGCGAATGTATTTAAAAAGCAGGTAATTCAAGTTCATCATTGTTTCTCTCACGCACGGGTTCGTTTTCTCATTATCAACAAAACAATTTCTTCGTTTCAGTCTTTGTCGAACATAACTCGAAGGTACACAACGAAAACCTCATCAGGATCTTCACCGGTTGCCGTCGAAAAGACATCTAATTCCGGTCGAAAAGTTACTGATTGGAGAATCATTAAAAACCTGTCGGGATATGTATGGTCCAAGGACGATTCTTCGGTTAAACTTCGTGTAGTGGTGGCATTGACTTTGTTGGTCGGAGGAAAAGTCAGTACCATCTTTCGTTTCATCAAAGTTCAAATGCCAATGCTTTATTCGGAACCAATTCATTCATCAGAACTTAATTCGCATCGCAGGTGCTTAACGTTAATGTTCCATTCTTCTTCAAAAGTATAGTTGATTCTTTGAACGTAGATGTTGAGCAGATAGGAACTGTCTGGACTGTTGCTGGCGCCGTGATTCTTGGATGTGGGCCGAGAACTGCTTATTTTCAGTTTTATCTATTTACTTTTTGGGCCACATTCAAATGTGCAACTTATTTTTCAAAATCCAGATGGTCTCGCACGAATTGGCGCGTCCGCTTTCCAAGAATTGCGAAATGCTGTATTCGCCAAGGTGGCTCAGAAAGCTATTCGTCAGGTGGCAAAGAGTGTGTTCCGCCATTTACATCAGTTGGATTTGAATTTTCACCTTTCACGTCAGACAGGAGGGCTAAGTAGGGCTATTGATCGCGGTACAAAGTTGGTATTTCATCCCAATCATTGGATAAAGTACGCACATCGATAATAATTTATATATTTTTCATATTCTTTTTACAACAGAGGAATAAACTTCTTGCTTTCATCTCTTGTATTTCACATATTGCCGACGGCTTTGGAAATTTCCATAGTCTGTGGAATACTGGTAAAATTTAAATCAGTTAATTTTCTCAAGAATAATAAAAATAATAGCATTAATAATTTATTTGGATCGACTAATGTCTCTAGGTCTATAATTATGGTGCACACTTTGCAACTGTGACGGCAATCACTATGTTATCTTATTCTGCCTTCACCGTTCGAACAACCTCATGGCGGTTTGTTGATTTTTGTAATATGCATTTTTGAGTGGTAGATTTTTTTTTTGCAAAAAAAAAAGATTGGTATGTTCATCAAATATCAAAAAGGACGAGATTTCGGAAGGAGGCAAACGAAGCAGACAATGAAGCAGCAACAGTAGCAGTGGATTCTTTGATTAACTATGAGGCTGTCAAATACTTCAACAACGAGGAGTTTGAGGTCAAACAGTATGACAATGCCTTGTCAAAATATGAAAAATCCTCCCTTAAGCTTTCTACCTCCTTGGCGTTCTTGAATCTAGGGCAAAATGTTATTTTTAGTACGGCCTTGACCATCATGATGTACTTAGCTGCTCAAGGAATTGTCTCGGGTGTGTCAATTTGGTGCTAATTTTTTAATTCGCATGCTTTTCCCTGATATCTTGTAATGTTGACTTATTCACCTGTTTATCTACATAGGCTCATTAACGGTGGGAGACCTGGTGATGGTGAATCAGCTCGTATTTCAACTTTCGCTACCTCTGAACTTTCTTGGCTCGGTTTATAGGGAGTTGCGTCAAAGTTTAATTGACATGGAGCTTATGTTTAAATTGCAAGAAGTGAATGTTAAAATTAGGGTAGGAATCAAGTGACGCGCTGAAATTTTTCTTTGGGATTTTTTCTTTTACGATCTTTTAAATAAATAACGCATGTCGGAACTTTCAATAACAGGACGTACCTGATGCGAAACAGTTAATCTTGAAGGGCGGTGAAATAACTTTTGATAACGTGATCTTTGGGTATCATCCGGAAAGACCTATCTTGAATGGTGTCACTTTCTCTGTCAAAAAAGGAAAAAAGACTGCAATAGTGGGACCGAGTGGATGCGGGTAAGTTCTTGGACCTCAGAATTTATTTGCCATGAATTTCTTTTTGACAGAATTATCGAACTTCTTTTCATCAAACAAAATATAGAAAATCGACTATACTTCGGTTATTGTTCCGGTTTTACGATCCGCAATTTGGAGGCATACATATAGATGGGCAAAAAATCCGGGATGTTTCACTGGAAAGCTTGAGGTCTAACATCGGAGTTGTACCCCAGGTGATTTATTTTATTTCCGGAGAAAATTTTGTTTTACAAAGCCCTATGATTATATACATAATTATAATTTTGCTCGATAATTAGGATACCACACTATTCAATAATACGATATACCACAACATCGCGTATGGAAAAATAACGGCGAACCCCAGTGAAGTAGAGCTAGCTGCCAAAAAAGCCAACATTCATGATGTAATAATGTCGCTGCCTGATAAGTATAACACAAAAGTGGGGGAACGAGGATTGATGTTGTCAGGAGGAGAAAAACAGAGAATAGCGTTGGCAAGAACAATATTAAAAGATCCGCCGATATTATTCTTCGATGAGGCTACGTCAGCGTTGGACATACACACTGAACAAACATTACTTTCGAACATAAAAAGTATACTGCAAGAAAGTCGAAAGACCAGTATTTTTGTTGCTCACAGGTTGAGATCAATCGCCGATGCAGGTATGGAATCCGTTATTTGATTTTTCATCATGACGTTCCGTCATAGGTAACTGAATCAAGTATTTATCTTCATTCACTACATTTAATTGAAGACGAAATCTTTGTCTTGCGTAATGGCGTTATCGCGGAGAGCGGAACACATGACAAATTAATACAGAAAGAGGATGGGGTATATAGAGATATGTGGTTCACACAAGAGATATCCGAACCCCTGATGGAGGTTGACGATGATGATGCGGCCGATGACGAGTGGGAAGGAAAAAATTAGCACGCCAAAAGAATATGGAGATGAAACGGGTGGCAAAATGTCTGCGAGCTTGTAATCTGACGATGATGAATTAAATTTGAATTCTGTAATATATCCTTTATTTATTTGATATTTTTAAGAGAGATGATACGAAAGTAGGACTTGAAGTTCATGATTCTATAGGCAGTCTTAAGATTTCACGCTTATTTTTGCAGTTCATTGTAAATCTCATTTTTCTAATCAGGTCAATTCAAAGAAGACGCTATTTTTTTTTTAAAAAAAAAAAAACAAAAAAAAACATAAGTATTCGAGTTAAAGACTTTTTCATCAGTATAGAACAAGTGCGATAAATTAAAATATGAATTATTGGTTTATATAATATTGCCATGGCGAACTTTTATCCAACAACCCTTCTACACTTTTATGCCACCATAATTGATTGAATTAAAAACTAAAATTAACTTTATTAGGTCAATCAAAAATCAATAAATTTATGGATATTGATATACTGAATTTTTATGTTAAGTAATTTTTACTTTAGATAACTATTTATCAACTATTTTTTTTACTTGCAAGCTTAAATAAAATATACATTATATACAGGGGATTGATTGAAAAAAAACCCAAATTTTTCTTAATACATTCAAGTTTATAAAAATTTATCTAAACTAAATCAAACTTTTAAAATATCTAAAAATTAATTTTATTCAAAACTTTTTTATAATTTACTGTATATAATTATTATTTTATATTTCTATTCTAATTAAAAGTTTTAGATCATATCAAATATATTATAAACTAATATTTATAAATTTGACCTATTAGATATTGTTATGCATAATTTATCACAAAATGATATTTAACTTGCAATTTTTATACAATTTTATATTTAAATTTGAAAAAAAAAAATTTAAAATATATATAGTATATACAGTATATAGTTATAATCTATATATTTTATTAAATATTTATATATTACTAAAACCAATTCTTTAACAAACTTAAAAAAAAACTTTTTCTATCAATTATTAAACCATAAATTTCTAAAAAAAGAAAAAATTTTAACAAAATTTTGCTTAAAAATAAATAGAAAGAACCTGAAAACAGTTTCTTCAAAGCTATGCACAATAAAAATAAATTCTCTATCTTAGATATTGTATTAACAGATAATAAAAAATCAAAAATCTCTATTATTTACAAACAAAATAAAACTTTACTTGTTTATACAACTAAATCAACTTTCTATCTTCAAGTATCAATTCTTCAGTATTGTCTATTATTTTGATTAATCCCAACTATCAACTTCTCTAACTCAGATCTAAACTTAAATCTAAAAATTATTCAAATCAAATTTGAAACTAAAAAACAAATCTTATAAGTCTCTTTTTCTTCTCTCAATGCTTAAGCTGAAATCTTCTCTTATAATAATCTCACTATTTTCAACAAATTTATAAAATACCAGTCAACTTTCCATTTATAAATGATAATAAAACACTTGCAATTTATCAAGTTGTTAAAAATATTATAAACTACAAACTTCACTATCATTAAAATCAAATTTTTATCTTCACCAATACAAACTTCAATACTTTTTTTCTTAAAAAATAAAGAATCCCTATATTACTTCTAAATATTTCTGTACTATAAAATGATTATCAGTAGATCATGAAGCTTACAAATCAAGAATTCTCAATATATCTGATGTAGAACTAATCAATCCAGAAAGGAATCAATCTTATTTTAATACCAGAGTAGATAACTTTCCCAACAATAATTTATTTAAAAATATTAATCAAAATTAATCCTCTCTTAATTATGTCATAGCCACAGATATAAAAATTAACTTTAATAATAAAGAATATATTTCTCACTTATGAACTAATTAAACTAAAGTTACATTAGGTACTGAAGATATTAAAACTACAAATTTATCAAACTATCAATTCTCTATTATCAAAATAACTGCAATTATCAATAATATTATACTTTTACTAAAATCTCTTATGAAAATATTTATAAAAATCTGGGATCTCTCTCATATTTTCTCTCCAAAAATTCTATCAGTAGTGATTACAAAAATCTTTTATATAAACAAAGCATTCTTTTGATTCTTTATCAGATCTAAAGTACTAAAAGAATATTATAAAAAAAATATGAAAAATTAATAAAAAACTTTCATAGCAATTACTTTAATAAATACAATATTATTTATATTAATAGGACTATTAAAAAAAATTTATATTATTATTAATAAATTTATCTTTATTATTTATCTTTGAACTTCAGACTTACATACTTTTCGATATTGGCAAATAGTTTAAATTTTGAAAAATAGTTTTAATTACTTTATTGACATTTCTATAGAAAAGATAGACTATAAAAATTTTCTAATACAATTAAAAAAGTTTATTAAAAATATATTTTTAGATCTTTTCAAACATTTTAATAAGATCTCTCCTAGAATTAAAATCAAACTACTCTATACTCTCCTACTAGATACTTAACCTATAACAGTTCTAATGGTTCAAGCATTGAAATACTTTTATGAATTTGATCTTTTATTTGAAAACTTCTTTAAGAAATTACTAAAATTTTCTTCCCAATCCTTAAAATCTTCCCTCAGAAATTAAATTTACCTTTCTTATTATATAATATGTATAGCTATATATTCTTAAACAAATAATTAATCTTTGATAGGAAAAATTCTACATATTTAATAAATTTTCTGATAACTATTTCAACCTCTCTTCTTCAAAAACCAGCCTTTCTAACATATATTAACAACTTTCCTAAGATTTAGTCTTCTTGTTTCCTATATTCAATGATATTTATTATATCAAACAAGTCTTAAAAATTCTTAGAAACAACAATTATACTTTTAAATTGCTTTCCAATAACTATTCAATTCAAAAACTTCCTTTTTTATTATCTCATTAACATAATAAGAACATTGATATAGAATTGCCTATTAAACATCAATTTCTAATCAAAACTTTTATCTAGTAACTATTCTTTTTTTACTTATTTAAATTGCCTTTTAAACTCAAATGAATAGATTCATCTCTTAAACAAATTGGTTGTCTACTTTTTTTTACTAATTTTGAAGTTATCAACAAGTAATTAGATTTATTAAAGAAAGATCTTAATATAAAAAATCCTTTGTTTAATAATAATATTAAAAAAATCAAAAAAAAATTTGTAGATTCAATCCCTAAAAAATAGATTTTGCCAGTTCTCCTGGTCTCCCAATCTCAATAAAATCTTAAAGAAAGAAAAAGTTAATATTATACTTTTGCTAAAAGAGAATAAATTCTTTAATGAGAAATTAAATATACTGAAACAATACTTTTATTTTCAAAAACTTTCAGACAATTTTGTGAAAGTATCAGAACTACTCAATTCTAACTTGGTTCTTCTCTTTACTCTATTAATTATAAATAACATATCTGACTCAAGTTTCTCTTTTGTCACAATGAATTTTAAATATAACCTTTTACTTAAACAAATAATATTATTTATCAAACTTTTCTATCAAAAAGTAGTAATATCAAAAACCTAATATCAATCTCAACTCTCAATATTCAATAATTAAATAATTTAGAAAAACTATATTATTTATTAAATTTCTTAATTAATATAAAACAAATCAAAATCTATACTGAGACCAAACACATTTTTTCAAAACTAATTGCCAAAAAAGTTAACAACAATATAATAATATTAAATATATTCAATATTTCTCCTAGCAATAGTATCTATATAATTCTTTCCAAAACCCTTTCAAATTATATTATTAATATATTTGTCCACAATGAATTCTAGTACACTATATACCTAAGATTTAAATCTAAAATAAATATTATTATAGTAGCCTTTTATCTTCTTTATTCCATTTTGAACTGAGATATCACTTACTTATTATTAAAAGAACTATTTCACTTCCATAGAAATCATAAATTTATTATAGTAGAAGACTTTAATATATACCTTTTGAAATCTTTCTCAATTAATATATCAACAAATAATCATAAATGAAAAATTTATAAAATACTAAATAATATAATATATATTGATAAGATTATTATTAAAAATATATATATATATACTTTATCAATATGAGTGTTTCCAAAATAGATCAAATATAACTTTTCCTTGACTTGGAAATTAAGATCCTAAATTATTATATCTCTGAGTCAACTGATATCAAAATGGATTATAAGAATATTACAATAATTCTTTAATGATTTGAATATAAATCATAAAGAATTTTCTATTTAACAAAAAAATATATATTTTATAAGACAATGAGAAAATAACTAAACTTCTTCAGTCCATATGCCATGAACCAGAGACTAGTACACATCCATTTATCTGCAATCAATTCAGATTCAAAACCAAAGACTTCCTAATTAACACTGTAACTTTCCATGTCAAAAGCTACACTACACAAGAAAAGGAAAAGAAGTTTAAAAACAAATTCATAAGCAAAATGAACTGGAAATACAAAGAATACTTAATAGCAAGTATCAGAGGTACCTTCTTCAAAAAACTAGTCTTTTATATCCAAACTGTCATCCCAGACAGACTGAACAAAAAGACCTGCCTTACTCAAATACGAACTAATATAATCAATTTTCTATACAAAACCTGGACAGAAAGATGTGAACCATTTCAAAAGTGGAAGGCCACTATAGGCATTACAAAAAAGAAGGAGAAACAAGTAAAATATGAGTCAAAAAAGGAAGATCCATTATTTAACTTAAGAGAAAAACACATAAAAGATCAATATACTATATCAATTTGGTTAATAACTTCATGAATCAGTGACTTACAAATATTATAGACAACTCTTTTATCTTAAAAATTTATTTCAGTACTAGCCCAGCTTTGGCAGGTTAGCCTCCTTACAAGGGGTGGCAACAAGCTGCAAGGTGAGTATTCCTATGAAGAAGAATCCTTTATTGAGTTTTATTTGATAGAAAATAGGTAATAAGTTCTAGAATAGTCTTTCTATGTAATTT